CCTTTTCTGCTCCAATCTTCGTTAAATGGGAATCAAATCTTATTAATTCTGTGAGAATTCGTTTGTCCAAGTTCAATGATTCTGAGGTTTTGGATAGGATCTTTTGGATCCTTTTGTAGAATATTCTTGGTTAGTTGCTAACTCATGTTTTGGGACTTTGCAGGTGTAGATAGTAAGTGATTCGGGCCAAGGAAGAATTAGCAGCCCATAGTTCATCGTGTCCTGATGTTCTTGTTTTTCTATCTCAAGTTTGATGGCATCTGATTAACCTCTGTTTTGGTCTTTGTTTTGATACGCTTGTTTTGGGAAGTGCAGGGTTGCTGATCTTGAAGCTTCCACAAGATACGTACTTCTTTCTATGGCGGAATCGACAGAACTAACAAGGTATAAGGTCCTTCATATTTCACATTTCTTTCGAAGTTCTGTTGACTGTTTCTGAACTTCCGTCGTGTTTGCTTGATAGGTTGTTGTTTTGAAATTGTGCTGAGCTATTTGAAGTTGGTCGTTGAAGTGCTCGTTGCGGTGGTTGGAAGTAATGATGACGTTTGTCTATGCGTACCAGGGTATATAGGAGCAGCCTTCAACCCTTGTGCTGGCTCGTATTTCGAAGTTTGTCGTGCACAGATAAGCAAATTTGGATACACCGATAGTGTTACAGGTATCCTTGCAACCCTAATTCCCTGTCATCCCATAGTGCACCTTGATTCTCTAGCAATTTTTAATCGACTTCAATATGTTCGCCGCACCCTCATATCTTGTGTGTTTCTTTTCAGACGACTTTGCCAACTTACGAATGGGAAATTACCGAGGCTGTTGCATTGGATTCTTCTGTTGCATAATGTCCTCAATTAATCCAGGAAACTCGAGCGCTTCAGTTCTGGCAGCCTCAATTTGACCAAGAACCGAACATGTTCCCATGATGTTTGTAACAATACTGGCAGATGGTTCATTTCCATGAGTGGTTGGCTGCCGAAGTTGGAGCGAATTATTTGCAGGAAAGCGATGGTGTCACCGTATGGAGCCGGGATTGCGCTTCGACACGTTTTGTAGGTAAAGCCTTATGGATTACGGAATGGTGCGCATCAAGGCAGGCTGTGTGATCTGCGGTTAAGCCTTTTGAGGTATCATACGAGAGCTCAAACATGTCCGTGATTTTGATGGATGATTGTTGAGTTTGCTTACGGTGAAACAGGAACAGAGCGGCAAGAAATAATCTCTGAACCTCTGTGTTTGTCTGAACTGCAGCTCAATAGCAAATGATAAGTTCGAGAGCATTGTACCCATGCATACTCAGCTTTGATACAAGGTAGTATTTCTGCTCCTTACACATTGCAGAGGTTGCACTAGGTACTTCCCCTTTTGATCTGTCTCTTGAATCTAAACTGGTTTAATTTCCCGATTTGGTTGGCCTCACCTGTTGTATGGCTTTCTTAGCTTGCGTGGTGATTAACATGAGGTTTATGCGGCAACTCTTAACTCAGCTGTGGTGGTAGGATAGTATCGGTAAGGAACAAACTCTGCCCTAAAATTTGTTCAGCAAAATGAAATAAGGATGACTAAGTGTTCTGTGCTTGAGTTTCTATTTCAAATTCAAACATGAGCATTGTTGCAAGTTGTTCTAAGTTGGCTGATAATCGCACTCTTCATTATAAATGCAGGTTACTGAAATACGTCGGCGGAAGCTGAAGCTGTTGGCGAGTAACAAGGGCGTATTCTTCATGTGCGCTGCTATATTTGACAGGTAGTCTGAAGTGGTAATTGGATAATGAGCATATGTCTCAGGAAATGGACAGCCAAAAGGAGCACCGAAACTTATCGCGGGATTCTTGTTTAAGTTAGGAATAGCAGAATTCACTGATGTCTTTCATGATTACCAGCAAAACTGTCATCAGTAGACGCTTTACCCTTGTCAACACTAACCGGAACTGCTGATGAGAGTGGTACTTTATTTATATTGGAGGATGAATTGAGACCAACAGCGCCAATTCCCGCATTTCCCGAGTCCACCTGCTGACCTGCACCGGAGGCTGCCAATATATTTCTATTGATGACGGAAACAGAACCCAGGAATGGAAACTGTGGACCTCTTGCTTCGGAAATGGCAAGTTCTTTAGCAACATTACTTTTGGAGCTTGGACCAGCTTCATTTGCTTCGAGAATACATTGGAATGGAAACAAATGTGCCATGCTGACACATACATTCAAAAGTAACTATGACTAACAACCTCATTGTTTGAAGAAGTCCTGGCTTGGAAATCAGAGTGGATCCTTCGAAGTGTTCTGCCCTGTTGCGGTTTATACTCATGTTCTCTGATTACTCTTTCTTCCCTTCTTGTGCAGGTTGTAGATGCCGGCAATAGGGCGTAAGCTGCGGCGTTTCCGCTGACGTTCAGATCGAAGCAAACTATTGGCTACTAACGATTCAAATGGCTGTTGCTGCTAAGAACAAAGTGTCTAATGCTCCTAACAGGCTTGAAACTTGTCTTGAAGCTGCCATAACCGCCTTCCTAATTCAGTTAAAATAGGCTCGGTTACGTTTGATAGCGTTTGGTGAGCTGGGTTTCTTATATTTTATGTCCAAATATTGCCGAGAATAGCCTTGTGAGGTCCTGATAGCTTTATCTGAGTTGTTTTACGCAGGGAAACCGAGACATGCGGGCGGGAGCTGCAGCTGAGGATATTTAAGAGAAAGCAACATCAATTTGAGATCTGGTTGGACTTCCATTACTATAGTGAACAAGTTTGAAGCAAATGGTTCAAATAAAGTTGAAGTTATAATGTTGAGCTGCGGCGACGACGGTGCACAAGTCTCGTAAAGCTTTAATGTTGATGTCATGAATTTGTATCCCCTCCTGGGTTTAGAATGAATTTGAATTTGGAGCTTTTATATTACTTGACCTTTGAGGTGGCATGTAGTATCATTAGTGAACTTGTATTATTGAGTAGTGAACTTTGAACTCCGGTTAGATTTTGACTTATTTCGAGTTTTTTCAATGTAAATCTCCGGATATGGTATTATGAGCTTTGAGTTATTTATCATCTTTAAAAAACTTGAACCTCCTTGAATAACAGTCACCACAAATCTTAAAAAACTTCTTTCGCAATTTAAACCTTTTGCATGATGAATAGGTTTGAGATTCTCCCTCAAATCGATGTAGGAACTCTGAACTTGCTTTTTTGCATTCGTACTTGGATTAGTCTATAAACTCATATCACGAGCGATAATCTTGAATCAACTGATGATCTTGAACAACACCTCCTCCATTCACGAAGCAAAAAGAATAAACAAGACGGTTAAGTTAGTTAGTAATAAGGACAATTGATCCCAAGAGTGAACGCTATCTCCACTCGATATCATCGCGTCTGCACAAATTGGTTAGTCACATAAACATTAAATGAAGTCAAGTAACAAATAAAAAAATGCGCAAACAGAGGTGGGATTTTATGGTCAAAAATTAGGGTGCAACATAGCCGTCTTTCAAATCCAAGATTTGGTTGCGATGAACTTGTGTCACGGTGAGAATCAAATATCAAGCTATTAATTAACTTAAATCACAAAACATGAAGTTCACCACCGAACTTTGATTTATCCAAAGGAAAGGGTAAAAAGCGAAAAAGCGAAGAAAACCCTAAGTGCACTATGTAACAACATAGCTAGAGATCTAAGGTTCGTGGGTTGGTTATACCTAGGGAAGGTGTTAGCATCCTAAGTATCTGTAGTACTCTACATGAACCTCTTGTTAGTATTTGTGTTATGTTAAAGTTTGCTTGCTAAGAGAACTGTGCTAAGGTGAAGACCTAGGGGTATATACACTAAGTATGCTCGCCAAGACATCGCATCTCGTGCGTACGTATTCTAACAAGGATGGAATCAGAGCAACCGTAGTTCTCCTCACTGAGTTTGAGGAACTCTTGATAACGATCAAGGTTCTAGAGGGGAAGTAAGTATCCCTAACCATGGTACTTACATGGAGTTAACAAATTCCCTAAGTCTAAGTTGAAAAACTAATCAAGATTGACTTTAACAAAAGTCAAAGGGGAAAATGAGTACTCATAACAATGATACTCACATAGAGTTTACAAACTCTAACTTAAGTCTAAGTTGTAAGACAAAATGGCTCTAACAAGGCCAACGGGGGAAGATGGACAAAACTATCCAACATGACTTGACACTCAACTATGGGATCATTTCCTTTGGAATGGCGAAAAGAAAACTTGTAACAACATGGAGCAAATAGATAAGCCTAAATCATGCATTAAATAACAAGCACCCAAAAAAATATTAGCCAAGGAACAACTGAACTAAATAAAAAAAATTAAAATAAATAACTAACAAAGCCTAGGAAAAAAATCTTTTTTGACATTTGAGAAAATATATATTTTTTGGATTTTTCTAAACATTTAAATATTATACCTTATATAATAAAGTCTAAAACAAAAAAAGATAAAAGGTATTTTCTAAAATAAAAGGTACTTTCCAAAATAAAATTAAAAGGTATATTTCTTTTTGAAACCAAGTTAAAGATTAATTTCTTAAGAAACAAAATTGAAAAATGGATTTTAAAGAAAACAAATCAACAAGAAAATGGGCTTGGGAGAACAAGCAAACCAGAAAGAATAGCTGCGGTTCATACTAAGGGAAAAGTGGAAAGGAACAAGACAAAAAACCTAACGAAACAAAGGAAGATGGCTGCGGTTCATATTAAGGGGAAAGTGGAAAGGAACAAGACAAAAAACCCAACGAAACAAAGGAAGATGGCTGCGTAGAACAACCTCAGAGGTTCCTTGATCTCCCCTCTTTCAAACACGACCAGATATAGAAGAACAAAATTAGCCAATAATCAGAACGATATCTCCCCTCTCTAATTCTCGCTGTGCTCTCTCGATTCTTCTTTCTCTGACTTCGTTCGTGTTTGCATCGTAGAAGGTGTTGTGTGCTTGTCGTCAAGGGACACAACCAGCCCCCAATCTTCACATACTTTGATTCTTCATCTCTTCCAATGAAACGTGGCTACCGAGAATCTCCTTCATCTTCATTCGGTCCACCCCAATCTAAATCTAGACATAATTCTCAAGGTATTAACTTTCTCATGCTCTAATTTCACCTTTTTCACCGTTGATTTCGTGTCATCTCGATCTAGGTTTTCCTAATTTCACCTTTTGTTTTGTGCATTTGTCTGGTATCAATTAATTTGAGCTTTTGTTTTGTAATAATAGGTTAAGGCTTGACTGTGTAAAAAATAATAATCAGTTTTGCTAGTATATTTGATAAAGAAGAAGTACTACTATGACATTGAGCTTTGATGAATTAGTAATTTTATGAAAAGTAAACTTCACCGAATTTTTTATGCTACTCGGTTTCTGCATATGAAGTGTTTGTATGATTACGTTTTAAAGGAAAGAACAAGGGTTTTAATTTTAATTAAAGGCTCACTAATGCAAGCTGGGTCATGGCATAACTGTTTTCCGAAGTTGACGAAACCCCAAAGCGTTATTGTGATTGCTATTTGAAATCATAGAAAGAACTTGAAGCAAATCACTTCTACATCTTTAAAGGTGTATGATGAGTTAACATTTACCATAGTTGTTAGTATATGTGTTTTCCTTTCCTAGTTTCATGGTGAACTAAACAGATTAGAAATGATAATATAAGAAAGAGTGTTGGAGTAACACTTATAGTAGAAAAGATGGTGGAAAATTGACTTACGTGGTTCGGGCATGTAGAGAGAAGACCTGTAGATGTTATGGTAAGGAGAATAGTTTAGATGGAGAGAAGTCAAACAACTAGAGGAAGACATAGAAAAACTACAAGAGAAGTTATTAAGAAAGATTTCGAAATTAAAGATTTGGATAGAAGTATGGTTCTAGATAGAACATTATGACAAAAGTTGATCTATGTAGCCGATTCTATTTAGTGGGATAAGACTTGGTTGTTGTTGTTTCATGGCGAAAGGTGATGCGGGTTGTGGCTCACGTGCTTATTTTCATTTGAGTCATTGTGTTCAGGTGATGCGAATTTTCTGGACGATGAAACCACAAAGAATTTTGCTCAGAAAGTAGCTGATCATTACAGCGCAAGATCAAACCAGACACTGGAAGAACGAGAAGCTAGCCCAATAATTCATTTGAAGAAACTTAATAATTGGGTATGCTTGTATTTTCCGTAGTATGTAGTTCATTTGAAAAAACTTAATAATTGTCGTCATCGTAGTATTAGATTATTTTTATTAACGTTTTTATTTTTATTTTTTTAATTTTGTTATTTAACAGATTAAGAGTGTCTTAATTCAGCTTTACGCTCGCCGAGGAGATGCAGTACTTGACCTTGCCTGTGGCAAGGTGTTGATGGTTTTCAGCTGTTTATATGCTGCAATTCATTCTTAGTTTATTCATTCTTAGTTTCTTATCTCTGCTTTCATATTTTTGTTTCACCAGGGTGGTGATCTTATCAAATGGGACAAGGCCAAAATTGGATATTATGTTGGTATTGACATTGCGGACGGTTCAGTAAGTGTTAAAATTTTCTGCGCTGGTTTACTCTATCCGGTTGTTTATACAATCATTACCATCAAATCATACTGCATTCGATTGAAAAAAAATTGAAGTTCAACACAATCATTCAACTCATTTCTACACAACAAATTAAGGATATACTTTTACTTAGCCTTATATTTTGCAAAATGTCATTTACAAAATCTTGTTGCTGACTTCATCTAATGTTAATTTCAATTTCTTCACATGACAATAACAAGACATTAATTTGTTCTTAGTAAAACTTTGCTATATAATATTATTTATTTCAAATGTAATACATGGATCGATATTTTTTGTCTTAACTAACAGTATATTTCCATTATAATTTTATATTCCCCTAATTTTAACAAAACACTGTATACCTTATTTTTCCAAACTATTTATAATTGTCATATATTTGTAGTCTGAGTTCAACCATCTGCGCAGATCAAAGATTGCCGTACCCGTTACAATGGTGACGCTGACCATCATCAACGACGTAAAAAGTTTTCATTTCCTGCTCGCCTCATGTGTGGAGATTGTTACGAGGTGATTAATATTTGATGGAAAAAGATATCTATGCTATATGTTTGTCACTTAATGTTTTGAAATTTCCGTTTCATCTGTTTTTTGGCAAGGACATTGATGGTTTGTTTGGGAATAAATTGAAAATTGGAAGATATTGTGAAAATAAATGGGGAATATTAGATTCACAACCTTTTCTCTTTCTTTAAATTCGTTTTCCTCAAATCATTCTAACCAAAACGAACATAAATGGGATTTGGGAAAAATTGAAGCAGAAGATTGACACATATCGTCTTAATCTCGATAAATTTTTGTTCTTTTTCTGTTTCTGTTTTTCTTCTGTCATCACAAGTGTTGTTAGCATACTATATTTCCATATCTCTTGGCATAGAAACTTCAAAACCAGAAAATTTAAATTATATTAAGTCATGTAGAGAAGGTGATCTTCAGTTTCAATAATAATTTCTGTATTCGTTAAGATGTTAAAAGTAAGCTTCGTTGTTAATGTCATTTACAATTTCAGGTTCGTTTGGACAAAGTTCTTGCAAACGATGCTCCTTTTGATATCTGCAGTTGCCAGGTAAATGATGCACTCTTGTGTAATATAGATCATTGTATTTATGCTGAAACCGATGTACATTCTTAAGGGTCCGTTTGGTTCAACGGAGGGAGGGGGAGGGGAGGGAAGGGGAGGTATTTTTACTAAATATATGTTTGGTTCAAAGAAGGGGAGAGGAGGGAAGGGGAGAGATTTTTAACTACATATATGTTTGACTCACAAGGAGAGGGGAGGAATTTTAAAATTAAATTACTTTTTTATCCTTACAAATATTATCAAATTACTGCTTTGAATCTAAATAGCAATTCATATTATATAAAGAAAAATTGGTACAAAATAATTACTCTCAAATCATTTGTGTGATATTCAATTTTTGTTTTTGAAAATTTTGATACATGGAATAAGAATTTTATTCAATAATATATAGCTATAACCAAAACAAGAAAATTGAATATAAAATTTATTTGATAATTACTCTCAAAGCATCCATGTCATATTCAATTTTCATGGAATAAGAAATTTATTTGATAGTATATAGCTATAACCAAATCCATGTCATATTCAATGTTCTTGAACGTGCTTATTTCTAATCTGTTAAACATTTTAAATACTGCAGTTTGCATTGCATTACTCCTGGTCTACAGAGGCTCGTGCTCGGCGAGCATTGGCTAATGTGTCAGCTTTACTTCGTCCCGGAGGCATTTTCATTGGAACTATGCCAGATGCCAATGTGATTATCAAGAAGCTTAGAGAAGGTTTTTGATGCACTTAATTCTAATTACAATTCTTTCAAAATAAAATTAGTCGTCGATGAAATTATATGACATCCATTGATCTATGTATAGCTGACCTTATTTATAAGACATTGTGATTTTTTTTTTCTAAAACAAATATAATGTGAGTATGCAGCTGAAGGGTTGACTTTTGGCAACAGTGTCTACTGGATCCGTTTTGACGAAGAATTTTCTGATAAGGTAATTTTGTTCTCCTGATCCTCCTGTATAATTGTAGGAGTGATTTTGTGAATTCTACATCTAACCAAAATTCTCCTGTGATTCAGAAATTTAAATCTTCCAGCCCCTTTGGAACCGAGTACACGTTCCATTTGGAGGTATCATTTCTTTTTTACTCTTCTCATTTTTCTAAGCATCTAATAGTTGTTTTCCCATTACACGTAGCTGATCGGGAGATTGTATGTCAAACTAATGTAAGATGTATGACCACAGAGAACACTTACATATTAAGTTATCATTCAGCAGCACATTTGTTAGTTACTTGTTCATAACCCTTTAGCTCTTGCAGAGTTTTAACCAAGTCATTTATTTAAACGTCTAAGCACAAATTTCAGGTCATTTTTCAAATGAATCTGACTAAAATCCTGAAGTTTAGCTTGTTCAAAATAGCAGAGTTTAACCTAGACTTATTTATTTATTATTTAAATGAGCCTAGCTAAAAAAATTCATATATTATTTTAGACCATTCATTTTCATAATTCAGTTCATAAAAAATTCAAACTTATTCGCCTCTATAAAAAAGAAATTTCAAAAGTAATTTATTACTCTCAAGTCTCAATAAAGTTCCATGTATAATGTATTTCCATATTATAAACATTGACTAGGAAATCAATATCATCAATTTATGGATTGACTACAATAAAGCCCAGATATGTAGTACAATCATGGATACGATGCCACAATGATATGAGAAATATTTAAAATTCAAGAAATGATATAACTTACATATGTTAATAAAACTTAATAAAAGAAACATATATAGAATACTTGTAAAAAATACATTAATAATTCCTTGTTAATTTATAACTATAATGACCATTGACCACAATTTACAAAAGATACATGTAATAAAAACAAAAGTTGTGGATGATTTATCGTGTTAGAATTGTTTCCAAATAGATTTCTCCATACACCCCTATTTTTAACAGTTACACGCCGCTATTTAAAACACTTCCTTTTGTTGCAGGATGCCGTTGATTGTCCTGAATGGATTGTCCCCTTTGACGTATTCAAATCATTAGCTGAAGAGGTGTGTATTTCTGCCTGCAAAACTGTTAAATTTTTGTATTCCCCTCCCCCTTCAACTGCTAAAATTACAATTTTTAGGTTTCACATTGGAGTATGATTATAATTTGCAGTATGATTTTGAGCTTGTTTTCGCAAAGAACTCACATGAATTTGTTCATGAGTATATGAAACGACCGGAATTTGTGGAGCTCATGCGAAGACTTGGTGCGTTGGGGGATGGCAACCAAGATCAGGGTAACCCTCCTTGACTGTGCTATTTCAATTTCAATTCAATTTCACTAGAGGAAAGACGATCATTAACGTGTCATTCAGTCCGCTTTTGTATAATATCCGTTTTATTTCACTCTGCTTATTTCAGTTGATAATAGTGTCCAAATTTCAGTATTCATGATATATCTATATCAGGTACACTATCAGCTGATGAATGGGAAGCAGCATATTTATATATGTCATTTGTATTGAGAAAGGTAAGTAGCAATGTACTTGTGTTGGCTAGTTCATGCTAATGATGCCACCATTTGTCAAGTTGCTAGCTAAAATCGGTTTTCTTTCTAAACTAACAGCGAGGCCAACCTGACAAAAACCAAGCGAGCAACAAAAAAGATCGAGGATTGATGCATATTACAGAGGAAGACATAATGTTTATTAATGGCAATGACTATTGACTACTAACACAGAACAAATGAACTAGTGACTTGCTTTTCATGAAAGGATATCGAACCACACAAGGGCATGAAGCAACCTGCACTGGCAATTTGCCATGAGTCTAGCAATCTTTTGTTGAATATTGTAAGTTGGCAATAAATGGTTGAAGTGAATTTTCTGTCCTAGAATTTGTTGTGCTAAATAAGACTTACCAGTGTAATTTACAAACTAATACTGAAAGGCAACTCTGAATTGAGAAGACTATGTTTCTATTTTATATTTTTCAACTAATAATTATTAAATTATACTTTTTTCTTTCCTTCATGTTATTACAAAAATTATACATTTTTCTTTCCTTCACGTTATTACAAAAAGGGTTAATAGCATTTTACCCTGTATGGTGTTCTGATTTATCTCCCTATAAATTTTTTTTTTTTTTTGCAAAAACACCCTTGTTGTTTAAGGATTCTCTTGGTTGTTTAAACTCTGGTTGGAAATGACACACGCCCTGAGCATATATGCTTAGTGATATTTTTTGTTTTTTTTTTTTATTTTTTTTAATTGCCGGATATTATTTCTAATTTTACATGGATTTTAATTTAATTTATATTTTTTTAACTTTTTAAAAATCTTTTTTAATTTTTTTTAATTGTGTGTTGAATCAAATCTTTCTCTAGTCTTCAAACCATAGAACCAAGAATGCTTTCGGCCTAATACATAATTTAAGTTTGTGATTCGAATTAATGCCATAATTTTAATATGTCAGTCCACGATTTTAGCAATATGTCATCCCATATGTTAGTCTTGAATATAGTCTGCCTGCCGTCAATCTGCCTGCCTGCCGTCAATCTGCATTTTAAAAAAAGATATAATGTCATTTAACTTGAAAGCAACAGATGTTACTATTAAAAAAAAAAAAGAAGAGAAACAAGTATTATTATTTTCTTTCTAAAAATACCATGATAAGAGATTGCAAATTGATATGTATGACATTGAAACATGAATACAAATTGCATGGATCTACCCCTAATACCATGTAAACGATGTTTGTTGGTGGTAGAAATTTCTGCAGGCATGCCAAACATTATCAATTCCAGCACCTTCAATAGCAGTGAAATAGATTTCACATGACCTAGCTTGAACTATTTCAATCTGAATATGAAACGAATAAAAGAGAGATGTTTGTAAAATGAGAGTATAATAAAATAGATAAATATACGTTGATCTTGACGGCTGATCAGAATCTGAAGTGGGTTAGGGACAATCGTCTGTGATGCTGGGTGTGAGAGAGGAGGAGGGTGGGGTGTACATGCAAGACACTCCGATGCTAAAGTAAGAATCAGGAGAAAGAAGACAAATACAAAATATGCGTGTATCAAAGTGAATAATTGATACTATTTGAGAGGGTTTTTATAATACCCTCAGCGCTTGACCATTGATCCTTATTTTTGAGGCCAAATAACCGTTTTTCGAAAAATAGGTAACTGCCAGAACTAGCCGTTGGAACAGGCAGAGGTGCCCATAACTAGCCGTTGCTACGGGCAGAGGCGCAGTTACGGGCACATGCGTCTTGACTGTTTCTGGATTGTGGAACCGTGCGTGACAGACAAGTCTTGACGAGGAGAAATGCTGACCCAGGGGTAAACCGGTCAATCTTCTCTGTTGGAGGGGCAGAAAGGTAAATGCTCCCCCCAATTACCTGAACTTAGAAAATTGGGTCGTTCTGGGAGTAGAAGTGGATTGGGCCATGCCTAGCCATTGGGCAAATCCGAAACAGTAGGCCCTAAGTCGTTGCTTCCGAGCATGGGAGTGATGACTTAAGGACAGTCCGCATCCCGGGCAAGGTCGTCGCTAGCCGCAGAGATGGGACCGTGACCTTGTGCCCGGGCATCCGCGCTGCTTGTTGGGGAGCTCGTGGTACGGGGAGATCAACGGTTAATGGGATCTGAAGAGGGGAAGTGCCACGTGTTCCTCGAGCCGTGTGATGCATTTAATGCGCAATGATGGCTAGGCTAGGGTCATGATAAAGCCCCTAGCCGCGCGTGCTCGCCCACGTGCCAGGAACTGTCTATAAATAGAGTGAGAAGCTGCTCAATTGCACTTTTCGCTTCTCTATCTACATTTGTTTTTTGTCTCTGCTTTCTGCCGGTCGCCGCCGTCAAGCTTCGACCGACCACCATACAAGCACCATCCAGAGCCGTTCGAACCCAGAAAACTTGTCTCCGACCACGTAAGTACACGAATTCCTCGCTTGTAGTATGTTTCATTGACTTCTGTTTCTTATACTGCATGCGGTTAGGGTCGTAACAGGGTAGTTTAGGGCTATTTTCTGGTGGCTGTTTCTGGCAGACGGTGGTTTGGCTGTGCCACTTGAGTAGGGCTTAGGACGGGGACGTAGTCCTCGGGCCTTCGCGCGCCCTTCTACTTGACTAGCGGTGGAAGGGTGGATTTGATTTTCTCATCGAATTCACTTTTATCCTCTACTTTTCAAGTAAAGGAGATGTCGCACGAAGTCGAAGAAGAGATCTTGGGAGACTTGTTCGAGGAGAGCTCCTCGGAAGAAACTAAAATCGGTGATGTTTCCACGCCTCCTGATGCTGGGGAAGTACCCGTTTTGAGGACCATCGCTGAAGAGTGATATGTGGTTGAACCAATGGAGCACGCCTTACTTTTTGCTTCTTATATTGGGGACGTCTTCGCAACAGTGGAGGCCAAAGGAGAATGGAAGGTCCACTTCCCCAGAGAAGATGATCACATATGCTCATCATACGGAGAGAGGTTTCCCATGTACAAGTACGTTTTTAAGGAGATAGGGCTGAGGTTTCCCTTTTTAGATTTCCAGAGGGCGGCCTTTGTGCATTTAGACCTGGCGCCCTCGCAGCTGCATCCAAACTCAATTGCCTTTATACGGGCATTCGAGCTAGTGTGTGAGTACTTGGAGATTGGGGCTACTCTCCCTCTCTTCTGTAGAATCAAGCTTCAAGGCCTATGTGTTTTGATGAAGACAACTCATACAAGATTGATACACATTCGCAAAAAGAAAGAGGCGCAAGCAATCAACAAGAATCCATTATCAAAGATCAAGTTAAAGTCGCAAATGGCGCTATGGATCAAGCTTCGTACTCTAGCTTCAAGTGGTGTTGATGATAAAAGAAACGGTATAAACATATTTTACTTAGAAATATTTTATACAAGTGTTCTTTCAATCACACTTCACTACACCACTATCATTAAACCTTGTAAAATATTTTCAAAATACTTTCTATATTTTAAATTAAGTATTTTTGCAAAAACCTTCAGTGTTAACCGATTAATCTGTGGGGTTAACCGATTAACACAAGTTAAAATTATGATTTTGGAACATTTTAACAGTGTTAACCGATTAACACATGAAAAGTTCAAATGTTTTTAAACGTTGAAAGGTGTTAACCTATTAACTTATTTGGTTAACCGATTAACACTGAAACAACAGCCAAAAATAGTAACTTTTCATGGAGGATTGCATTGTTCTCTATTATTCTTACTGGCTATTTTTCTGTCCCATAATCATATCTTTTTGGAAAGGTTTTTCACTTCTCTAAATTGATTTCATTTTCAAAATCAAAATCACCTTCAAGAAACAAATTTCAAAAATTACTCTTTGTCTTCAACCTTTTGAATTTTCATAAAAGTGTTCAAACATTTTTGAAAGAAGCCATTGAAATTAACTTTCACATCTTCACAGCTTTCTTTCACAAAAAGAACACTTGTATATTATATCTGAGTATTATTTGTTTCGAGAAGAAGATCAATATTCATATTGATAAACATTCAAATTGTTACTTGTACAAAAATTCAGAATTGACTACAACTTATTTTTAGGATTGTTAAAGATAAGTGAGTAGGGTTTTCCTTGTTATCCGGATTGTGGATACAAGAGGTCCTTGTGTGAGATATTCATTCTCGATAGGACTTTAAAATTGTGTAAATCCAAGAAGGGTGTTCTTGGTTGTTAGAATTGTCTTAGGAAATCTAACATTGATAGTAAAATACTCTTTCATGTTGAAAGGGGAGTGAAGTACTCTCGGATTGTGAGGGGAACCACTATACATCGTTGTGTTCTTTACTTTCTGCATTTACCGTCTTTCATCACCTAGAAACTTTTAAGGAAAGTAAAATCCAAGAATCACCGAAAAACCGGAAAAAGTGTCTAAGAACCTAATTCACCCCCCCTCTTAGGCATACATATAACTTACAATTGGCATCAGAGCAGGTTACGGTAACCTGTTCCTATCGATCCAGAATGGCTTCCGCTAGCACCAACCCGGTTTTCAAAGACGGTGGAAGTAGTAACAAACCCCCACTATTTTCTGGAGAATATTTTTATTTTTGGAAAATTCGCATGAAGGCACATCTAAAAGCCCAAGGAGAAGGAATATGGGAAACTGTTGAAAATGTCCTCATGAACCGACAAGTGTCGTCAATGGTGTAGGAACTCCAAAGGTTAAATCATCATACGATGAAGATGACAAGAAAAGGATTCTTAATGAGAAAAAAGGCTATCAACATATTACAAAGTGCTTTGAGTATGGATGAGTTCTTCCGAATCTCTCAATGCAAGTCAGCAAACGAAATATGGGACACCTTAGTGGAAACACATGAAGGCACCGCCGAAGTAAAGAGATCCAGATTGAACACACTAAGTCAAGAATACGAAATGTTTAGAATGCTTCCTAGAGAATCCATTGTGGCATTACAGAAAAGATTCGTCCACTTGACAAATCACTTAATTGCTCTCGGTAAGACCTTTACTAACGATGATTTGAATCTTAAAATTCTTAGATCCTTAACCAGGGAATGGAAACCAAAAGTGACGGAAATTTCGGAGAAGAAGAGTCTTTCAACAATGACGTCCGCATCACTTTTTGGCAAACTTCAAGAACATGAGTTAGAACTTGGAAGGCTTGAGAAACATGAAAATCTAGAAAAGAAATCCAAAGGAATTGCCTTTTAAAGTGGAGTCAAAAGAAAAAAATTGATG